GATAATTAGCCACTGCGTAGTCTTCAGTCGAATACCTTCTCGAATCCCTCTCAAGGTATCCATACGGCGACGACTTTCTACCCAAAGACCGGAGACCTAAATGCAAGATGAAAACGAAAATCACCGCTGGGCCAGCACAATACACAATTGTATCCCTGCATGATTTCTAATGAATAATAACACAAAAAAGTTGCACTAGTTGCCTTTAGTTCATGGAACCATCTGGCGCGCTTCTAAGTCGTGGACGTAGGAACCGCCTTCGGATACGACGGCTATCTGAGAGTAAATAGTTGCGAACAATTGAGCGTCATTCAAGATTAAGCGGCTAAAAAAAGCGATTTTCAATATTCATAGACAAGATATCCTTCACTGGCTCGCGCTGAAATCTAAATGTACAAGGGCCCAATAAAAAAAAGACACTTTGGCCGAGTCACATACCAGATGGAAGTCGTGAATACGATAACCACGGAGGAAGATACCCATAATGTTTCTCGATATGCGGGAGCAGGCTCTCGTCCCTCACCTCAATGTACCCCAAAATATAAAGTCATCTCCAGTCGCAAGCCAGACTGAAACCTATGGAATTCACGACACCTCCAAACAGCTGTGAAACTTCTTGTATTTAGTCGCCCATGGACAGCAACCTAGAGACCGGTACTCGTGATCTGGGAGGACTCCAAGATCGAGCAGCTCCGAGCAGCTGGCAAGGCGCGGGCTGGTGGTATGACCGAAAGTTTCAAGAATGGGAGTACCGATATCTTCGGGGACCCCGGACTGGAAGTGAGCGCTGCCGGTTACATCGGCCAAGTGGAGGAGTATCATGCCTTGATTTCGTCGCCTGTATCGTTTTCGTACTGCTACAGGATCGGTGCCAGCACGTGGAATCGAAGGGCGTTGGAATAACTCTCGCCTACTTGAATGGAAGGGCGTTGAGAACCTGAAGAAGACGGAATATCCAAGTGTGTCACCTGACCTAAACCCCCTCGATTACCGGGTCCGAGAGGAGCTCAACAGGGTGGTCTACAGTGGCGGAGAATCAACGACCTCGCTGAACTCAGGCACCGAATCACGGTCGCGTGGCAGAATCTCTCGATGGCGCTCGTCCAGAAGGCTGTGGCGGAGTATCGTGATAGTGTACAATGTGTTGTTGAATATGATGGTGGAAATGTCCAATAGAATTCAATAAAGTGTTACTTATAGCGCCTCGAAAGTCGAGGAAGAAAATGCCTTTTTATCAGCTCCCCCCCCCCTGAAGCTACTGGGTTGGAAATAGATGATGGCGTTTTTTCTAACATAGAATTCCGTATAATAAGTGAAAATGTATCAATGATTTATGTTTTTCATAGGTAACCTTCTGCTTTATATGACTTTATATGACAATGTGCTTATTTTTCTATTCACTCTTGTTTTTCTTCAATTTTCAGCTCATTCTACTGAATTCTCGGATCAACTCAAATGAGAGCATTTGACAGCATTTTTTGCACTTATTCTAGCGCTAAAAAATGCAGCAGCAGCAGCTCAGAATCTACGATGCGTTCGACCAGGTAAGCATTCTTATCATTACAACTTGAAATTTGCTGAAATGATTGATAATCGGGAATTTTGATCTCGAAATTGTAGATTGCATGCGGCGTTCTCTTGGAGAGCGACTGCTTGCAGAGTCCATGCACCACTTTCTTGCCCTCCCCCTCGAGCGAAGGTGAGGCTCTGTGAGGATGTAGAACCAGTCCATCCGACCTCTACCTCGAACCCAGTCTTTGCCATGTCTGCGCGAATAAGATTATTGGGTGAACCCTAAGTCGAGCTCAATACAACGCTGCAGTAGTTACTGTCCCGTCTCTGTCCTTCTGATGAGTTTCTTTGTTGGAGGCAAAATGTTTTATCCTGAAACATCCTGAAAAAGATACGTACCCCAATATCGTTCGCTCAACGGAAGGATTCTGAGGGATAGGTGATTCGGCAGAGATCCGATCAAACCATTCGAGTTGCAGCGGTTAATCCTCAGTCTAGTACTTTTTGACCATACTCTTTCGTGAAGAAGTATGGATATACCAAGATTAATACAGCAAAAAAAAACAATAAAGTCCGTGGTTCTCCTACTACGAGCGCTACCTACAGCGCTCATAGGATCGATCGCATGACTCAGTGCAACTGCAAATAGCAAGGTCGACTGAGAAAAACCAAGTTAGTGAAAGTAACTGCTGCAGCCGTTTTCATAGCGCTTGCAAACTAACCATCGTCCATGCTATTCAGCTGCTGAGCACAGCATGATTTTCAGTTTTTTCGTTTCACGGACGCTAGAAAGGGTAGAGTCTATTTGCATATTTCTTGGGAGGAGTCGTGTTTGCCTTCCTCTCCTCCTTGCCTTGCCTTTCAAAGATGCTTCATTTTGTTCACCTAGGCTTTAACAGCTAAGCAGGTGCTGCCTCGCCTGGAGAGCATCTTGCCAGTCCCCATCGATGTGGAGGCTTGTAAAGTCTCGTGAAAGCCGAAATGACATCCTGCATTGTACAGGCCGAGGAAACCGAACACTATTCGGCACTGTTCCACTTGACTCGCTGCACACCTGTGGTGCTTCACTGCTTCCCTTATGGTGTAGCAGTAAAGCAAGAATAAAAGTTTCATTTTGTGCTTGGAAAAAGAAATCTCAAGGAGTTCATGAAAAAAGCTGTGCCTTGTGGTATCGCGAGGTGGCGATAGCACAATGCACTGACTGAATCCTCAATCAAGGGCAGCTGGCACGATAAATCCTCCAAGACGCCTGACTGGACGGAATTCCGCGATACTGAGCAGGCGCTGCATAATACCTTTTCAAGGAAGGTGTCCTTATAA